TAGTAGAGAAGTAAAACAAGAGATTACAACTAAGAGAAGGGCATTTAAAGCATTTAAATCGGACAAATCAGATGCATCTTATAAAAGATATAAGGATGCAAATAATGCGTGCAAAAAGGCAATTAGACTTGCTAAACTTCAAAATGAAATAATGATAGCTGAAGAGAGCAAAACCAACCCCAAAGCATTTTTTAAGTACATAAATTCTAAAAAAAAACAAAATGAAAGTGTAGGTACACTAAAAACTGAAACGGGGGTGTTAATTAATGAAGACCAGGAAAAGGCAGGAATTTTAAATAACTATTTCTCCTCCGTATATATTAAGGAAGAACCCATGGCAATAGATGTGCAAATGATTGCTACTAAAAACTTACAGAATAATTGTAATTGGTTAACTCAAGACAAGGTGCTGCAGCAACTAAAGAAAGTTAATATAAACAAAGCTCCAGGGCCTGACGGTATCCATCCACGTGTACTTAAGGAACTAAGTGCAGAAATAAGTGAACCTCTGTTTTTAATCTTTCAAGATTCTTTTCTTTCAGGAAGTGTTCCGGAGGATTGGAGGAAGGCAGATGTGGTTCCTATATTCAAAAAGGGTTCAAAATCCTTGCCTGGAAATTATAGACCTGTGAGCTTAACTTCTGTGGCTGGTAAAATATTTGAAAGTTTATTAAGGGATAATATTCAAGAATTCCTTGAGAAGAACATGGTTATCAGCAAAAATCAGCATGGTTTTATGAAGCACAGGTCATGTCAAACTAACTTGATTGCGTTCTACGAAGAAGTAAGTAGAAGTATAGATCAGGGTGTTGCCGTGGATGTGATCTATTTGGATTTTGCCAAGGCATTTGATACAGTTCCACACAATAGATTAGTGTTCAAACTCAAGGAAATCGGTCTAGATGAAAATGCTTGTTCTTGGGTAGAACATTGGCTTAAAAACAGAGTACAAAGAGTTGTCATTAATGGTAAATTTTCAAGCTGGACAGAGGTGGCAAGTGGTGTCCCTCAGGGGTCTGTTCTGGGACCCCTTCTATTTAACATGTTTATAAATGATCTTGAAGACCGCATTGAAAGTCATGTTTCAGTGTTTGCAGATGACACCAAACTTTGTAAAACAATACAATGTGAGCAAGATATTACTTTGCTGCAGAGGGACTTAGATAGACTGGGGGACTGGGCACTCAAATGGCAGATGAAATTTAATGTTGAAAAATGCAAAGTTATGCACTTCGGCATAAAGAATACACAAGCAACGTATACCCTTAATGGAAGCGAATTAGGGATAACAACACATGAAAAGGACTTGGGAATTGTTATAGACAACAAGCTATGCAACAATGTGCAATGTCAATCAGCAGTGGCCAAGGCCAGTAAGGTATTGTCATGCATGAAAAAGGGCATTCATTCTCGGGACAAGAATATAATTTTGCCTCTTTATAAATCACTGGTAAGACCCCATATTGAATATGCTGTGCAATTTTGGGCACCTGTTCTAAAGAAGGATATTATGGCACTAGAAAAAGTGCAGAGGCGGGCTACAAAATTAATAAAAGGAATGGAACATATCAGGCTATGAAGAAAGGTTAACAAATTTAAACCTATTTAGTTTAGAAAAACGTCGCCTGAGAGGGGATATGATAACATTATACAAATATATTCGTGGCCAATACAAACCATTGTGTGGAAATCTATTCACAAACCGGACTTTACATAGGACACGAGGCCATGAGTTTAGACTGGAAGAAAGAAGATTTCGTCTAAGGCAAAGGAAAGGTTTTTTTACTGTAAGAACAATCAGGATGTGGAATTCTCTGCCTGAGGAAGTGGTTTTATCAGAGTCCATACAGATGTTCAAACGGCTACTAGATGCATACTTGCAAGAACAGAATATTCAAGGATATAATCTTTCAATGTAGGGTAATAACTGCTTGATCCAAAGATAAATCTGACTGCCATTCTGGGGTCAAGAAGGATTTTTTTTCCTAGTTTGTTGCAAAATTGTGCTTCAAACTGGGTTTTTTTTGCCTTCTTTTGGATCAACAGTAAAAAACAAATGTGATGTAGGCTGAACTTGATGGACGCAAGTCTCTTTTCAGCTATGTAACTATGTAACTATGTAATATGTAACTTCAGCTGGAAGGTTATTCCATGCATCCACTACCCTCTTAGTAAAGTAACACTTCCTGATATTATTTTTAAACCTTTGCCCCTCTTATTTAAGACTATGTCCTCTTGTTGTGGTAGTTTTTCTTCTTTAAAATATAGTCTCCTCCTTTACTGTGTTGATTCCATTTATGTATTTAAATGTTTCTATCATAGCTTTCCTCCAAGCTATACATGTTAAGATACTTTAACCTTTCCTGGTAAGTTTTATCCTGCAATCCATGAACCAGTTTAGTAGCCCTTCTCTGAACTCTTTCCAGAGTATCAATATCCTTCTGAAGAAACGGTCTCCAGTACTGTGTACAATACTCCAAGTAAGGTCTCACCAGTGTTCTGAGCACTTCTCTCTTTCTACTGCTAATACCTCTCCCTATACAACCAAGCATTCTGTTAGCATTTCCAGCTGCTCTATTACATTGACTTCCTACCTTATCTGAAATAATTACTCCTAAATCACTTTCCTCAGATGTTGAGGTTAGAAGGGTATCAAATATCCTATACTCTGCCCTTGGGTTTTTACGTCCAAGATGCATTATCTTGCACTTATCCACATTAAATGTCAGTTGCCACAGCTCTGACCATTTTTCTAGTTTACCTAAATCATTTGCCATTTGGCTTATCCCTCCTGAAACATCAACCCTGTTACATATCTTTGTATCATTAGCAAAAAAACATACCTTACCATCAAGACCTTCTGCAATATCACTAATAATAATATTAAAGAGCATGGGTCCAAGTACAGATCCCTGAGGTACCCCACTAGTAACTAGACCTTGCTTCGAATATACTCCGTCAACGACAACCCTCTGTTGTCTGTCATTTAGCCACTGCCTAACAGATAATAATACAGAGACACCTATACAATAAATATAACTGATTACACTACAGAGAGGTCCATTCAATACACAGAGCCAGGTATAATACAGAGATACCCATACAATTATAAAGAACCCAATACTGTAAGGAGATACCAATACAATACACAGAGATGAGCATACAGAGATACCCATGCAATACCCAGAACTAGCACACCACATAGATACAACACACAGAGCTAGGTACTACAAAGATATCCATACAACAAGTAAAGCTGAGTAAAATACAGAGATAACATACAGAGCTTTGCACAATAAAGAGAAAGCATAACTATCCCACGCACTTAGGGTAACTGTGATGGATTACACAGAGCTGCAATACAGGGATCCCTACACAGTAAGAGTGCTCAAGCCTTTTCTGTCTAACTCCTGATCTCTTGCCCTCCCTGTCAGGGATGCTGGTGTCTTACCTAGTCCCCTTGGCATTCTTCTTGACGCTCTTGATTATTATTTTTATATTTTCACACACAATGACTGGAACATTTTAATCTACTTTCTATCTTTTTTGCATTACCTCCTTTGGATGAGCCTCCACTGTTATTACTAAACATGTGCTTTTCTTCTTATAAAATCTAGTTATTAAAGATATGTTAAATACAATTCTGCTTTTTATTTTCCATTTTTCTTTACAAACAATGGTTAATTAAATAAAACTGTTTTTTTTTTTTCATTAAAACAACTTTTTTATACTACAATCTGTGAAAACTCAGCTTTAGCTGTGACTCCAAGACAGACTCACACAGACTGAGACATACACACGCACGCAGTCATCTGTGCTGGTTTAAAATGTTTCCGAACATATATTAGCAGTAGTATAACAAAATAATCCAAAGGGTCCCAGTGATGGCATAAACGTGTAAACTATAATACACAAATTAAATGAATTAGGAAATCAAAGCAACATAGTATTTTTGGACTAAGGGCAAAAGAAAACGATGGCAAACAGAGTAGGAAGAAAAAAATAAATAAAATGTAAAGTTCAACATAGGTGGATATTTGGACCTCCTTAGAGTTTTATGAATAATGTATTGTTGGGGAAACTAGAAAGGGGAAAGTTCTCCAGATGTGAAACGTAACAAATATTTATTCACACAGAGAATAAAGGCTACTTATCAAGTAGAAAATAAATAAAATATTTAATATGTTGACTTGACTTCCAGCCATCCTCTGAGTTCTATACCTGCTTGGATGACTCTTAAGAGCACTAGACATTAAACCAGATGGATGGTGTTTTTATATACAATTATATATATGCTTTACTATGTATACAGTTATTTTTATATTTGATGATGGGTAAACGTTTGCTACACAATTCATTCGATAATCTTTTATATATATTATATATTACACTTTAGTTCTACTTTATCGTTACCTTAATTCACACAAATTAAATGACTTTTCTCCTCTCTCTCTCTCTCTCTCTGCTTCTGACCAAACGATAACTGCATCCATAGAAGAAGATATGCATTGAAAATAGTTGTTTATTTATGTGTGCATTATTTTTACTATCAAAATATAATCACATACTATATTTGCAACATTTACTATACATAATGTATATGCCATATCCTTTTCAACATACATCAGCACTATAGTGTATTCCTAATGCTAGTGTGTTCCTCTGCCCATGGCTGAATGTCCTAGCTACCCATGATTCCACCAATGTCAATGTGATGTAAGTGCCGCAAGCACATTAGACCTTCACCATACGAAAGCAATGAATCAATACTTTTCTATGGGGAATTTGAATACGCTGGATGCGCCTCATGCAAAGTGTGAGGACTCAAGCGTCATTTCACAAACTCAATTAAACTCAGTGAAAAGCCTGAAAGTGCCTCTAGTGGCTGTCTGAGAGACAGCCTCTGAAGGTGGTCTTAATCCTACAATATAAACATTGCTGTTTCTCTGATACTGCAATATTTTATATTGCAGGGTTAGAGGCCAGGGACATTTACTCAGACCATTTCAACGAGATGAAGTTGACTGGTTGGCTATAGCATCCCTTTAAGTACAAGTGTGCCTTTTTTCCATCTCTGATTTTTAAAGAATCACATTTACTATATTTATTCAATTACATATTAAGTGTGTTTTGTACTTTTCTCTTTAGCATTTAATAATTATTGCTAGTAGATTGCGAGAATGTTGTATTAACTACAGTACCAGTTTTAAAATAAAAGCCAATTCAAAGGGCTATTTAACCTTTGGAGTTTCCTCTGATGAAGTGTCATTAGTATAATAAATTGTGTAAAGCACGACCTATAATAAGTTAAACTGATGTAGATACTCTTATCAGGTTTGGAATAATGCAGCCAATGAAAGCATACTGACATGTTGGATCAGGTGTGAGGTAAGAGTCACTGACACCTAAGTGCAGGACGTCAATGCCGTGTGTGGATGTAGCTAAATTGCTCTTCTCTTTGCTCATCTCATTCCCCTTCCATTATACATCTAATAATTCTATGTTCCGTAAGTTAACATGTTAGTTGGGGTATGTAACTGTAAAGGGTAGCCACAGGAGTTGCAGACATAGTAAATCTGCTTTCAAAGACAAAACATCTGGGTGCACTACACCCCATATTTTCCCTTTTGCCCACTCCTGAATTGGAACCTGCTGAATGGAGTATTGTAGACACCGGAAGCAAACTCAGTGCAATATTCCAAGAATAACATTTAGCATGTATCCTGTTTTGAACTTTAATAGCACGCAGATTGGAAATGTCAACTGAGCCCCATGTGCCTATTTTTTTTTAAATGTGTCATTATCTTTGCACGATTACAGGGACACTATAGTCACCAGAACAACTACAGTCTATTGAATTTGTTCTGGTGAGTAGAATCATTACCTTTAGGCTTTTTGCTGTAAACACTGTCTTTTCAGAGAAAATGCAGTGTTTACATTATAGCCTAATGATAACTTCACTGGCCACTCCTCAGATAGATGTTAGAGATCCTTCCTGGGTCATGGCTGCCTAAAATGCATCCAAACATTCAGTGTCTCCTCCCTCTGCATGCAGACACTGAACTTTCCTCATAGAGATTAATTGATTCAATTCATCTCTATGAGGAGATGCTGTCTGGCTAGGGCTGTGTTTGAATCATGCTGGCTCTGCCCCTGATCTGCCTCTTTGTCAGTCTCACCCAATCCTATGGGGAAGCATTGTGATTGGATCAGGCTACCACTTCTGATGATGTCAGCAGACTGCTTGTTTTTCTGAGTCAAACAGCATGCAGATTTACTGCTTCAGGCTTGAATACAGTAAGATTTTGCTATATTTATGGAGCCATGAGAGGCCCAGGGGGGCTAGAATGTAGTTTTAACACTATAGGGTAAGGAATACATGTTTGTGTTCCTGACCCTATAGTGATCCTTTAACACTTTCATGAAAAATGACTTGTGGTGGCTGTTGTGAAATTAAAGTAGTTATCTCAAGAGAGACTGAAATATAAGTGTACATACAATCTACACTGTAGAAGCAAATATACTATTTTGCAACATAAAATAATAGTTTACCATGCCATAGACTTTTTATTTTACTACATACGTTGTTTCCGTTCTGTGAACACTTATAAAGTTATCTATCTCACAGCCATCTGCTGACTTTTGACACATCAATCTTGCAGAAACCTCCACTGTCTTGACCTAGAGCAATTCTCCACCAACCTCCAAACTCTCCTTTTACCTATCTCACCTGCCCTAGCTCTGTAACCTCCTTCTACAATTCCACCATCTCCTATCAGCTAGACATCATGGCACCTCCTACACTTAAACACAGCATGCACCCCCAACTACAACCTTGGAACACCAAGCTAACCCTATACCTCCAAAAAGTCCTCATGACAAACTCCCCTTTTTAAGGGAGTTTGCAATGAGTTTTTGGAGGAGCCTGCTTGCCCGCCTCCTGCCCTGTAACTATGGCCCTTGCC